TTTGAGGTTGTCTGTTGTTTCCTAGACATTTTGAAGTTGTTGTCTTTGACTGTTAGTTATGTATTGATTTGTTTCACCCTCATTTTATGTTTCACTATGTATGTAAGTGTGGAGCAGGTGTACTTTTTTGGTTATTAATTCAGCTGTACTGGGTTGCTCTCCAGTTCTTGGTGGAATCACTTGTGGGGATGTGGATGCAGATCCCTCTTTGTCATGGAGGGGACTTGGAGTTTGGATGAGTGGATGCTGTGGTGGTTTAATGCATTCCTTCTATTGGATGAGAGAGGGGATAAGGGGAGAAAAGAGAAATAAAAGAGAGAAAAAAAAAAGTGCCAGTAGCGAGTCCTAATTTTCCCCATTTGGATGAGGTGCTGCTGGCTCAGGCAGTGTGGTTTGTATCTTTCTGGGGTGGCTACTAATGATGATGTACTACTGTCAGTCAAAGACCCACTGTTCAAAATTGACAAGAGCACCCAATGGGTAGAGGGTCACCACTTTCCACTTGAATGGAGAAGCCAGAAAAATGCAGTACCTCAGTCCACTCTGTGCTAAAAAAGCAGGAAGAGTTGAACCTCAGCCAGTCACTATGTACTCACTCCAGGGCTCTGCCCACTTCGAAGGAGCCTCCCCTTTCCCCCCACTCCTTTCTGAACTCTGTGGCAGCCTAAGCCAAGGGGGATTTTGATCTGTTTCCCAGCAAGGTAATTTACTCACTCAGCTCAGCTCCCAAGATCCAAAAACTCCTTGTGTGAGTACTCTGAGTGCCCAGTGCCTCTGTGTGTTCCATGATTTTTTTCATCCTTCTCTCCTTCAATCTCTTGTACTCCACTCCTCTGTCTCTCTGACAGCTAGGAAGGCTCATTTATTTTTCCCAGTTGATTAATTTGCTTTTTCTCTACCTCCACTAAATCTGGTAACTTATCTTCTTCTTAGTTGCTCATAACTCCAGTATCATTGATTCTATCTGCTTTACCTAGTTATTCAGGAATTAAGATGCTAGAGGGAACAAATGTGTAAGCTACAGATATGATGCCATTTTCCCACTCAGTCAGGGACTTTTAGAAGGCTAAAGAAATTAGTAAAATCTTGGGGGAGTCCAAATGCCCCAAGACTGAGAGATGTCCATTTTGTCTCCATAAGGACAAAACTAAGGGGAAAGGATCAGGCTACCACACCAGGGATTTAATTTAGATATTAAAAACTACTTTCTAATAGTGAGTACTGATAATTAGGTAGTCAAGAAAGATGACACCAATATAGTCTGAAGAGGATTTTAAAATAGATTTTTTTTTTCATCAGTTTGATATCTTTCAGATATGGTCCTGCCTGATGCAGGTTCCTGTTTGAATTTTTCCCTATCAGTTGGCCTCAGATAATTGGCCACAATTAAATAAAAACAATGCTTCTTAAAGATAAATCATTATGCTTTAGCTTGCTCAGTGCTAAAAATGGGAGAGGAATAACTCATAGGTAATCTCATATTTACATAAATTCCAAATTTCCAAATGTAATTATTATAAACCTTTACATGTGAGGAGTACTTTCAATTAGTTAAAGTCCTTTTGGATTTATGACCTTACTTAATTTTAACATTCCTCTGAGGAAACCTGCCTTCTAGTACCTAGCAAGTACTCTTTCCCATGGGCCACATTATATTCAAGGAATCACAACTCCCAGAGCCAGTGATGCCCATTCCCTGGGTAGTAATGACATAGCAAGAACAATGGAGGCCAAGGATGGGGCTTAAGGGGTAGGGTGTCTCTCCCTCATACATACATCCTCTTATTTGATGCAAAAATATCAGATCTGCAGTTTCCTGGATGACTCCAAAGTTGAGAAGATCACTGTCCAGCAATGGAAAGCAGCCCTCAGAAGGTCCCGTCTGTGGCTTAAAGACCCAGCTCTCCAATCAATCAGCTTGCTACCCTGGACCCTAACTCTACAACTGAAGAAACAGTCCTCTTCAGCCTCTCCCAGATGTTTCATCCAGGTAAACTTTCTCCTGAGCTTCACCCTGCCACCCCTACTATAGTCAGGGACCTAGGCCTCATGAGTCCTCACTCCATCAAAGCAAAGCAGCATCTCACCAAACATGTGCATCCAGAACAAGGGGCAAGAGGGTGGAAGGGTGAGGGGAGGTCCAAGCCAGGCTCTTTTGGTCTCTATTATCAAGTCAAACAGTGTATCAGATGTTGATAATTCTCTATAAGGAGGAGAGTTCAGCAAACAAGGAGAGACAATCATGGGATAGAGATGGAAAGGTGGAATGTTTAAAAACACACTAAGGAATATGAGGCCCATTATTCCCTCCCGGAAAGTTCTCTGGAAACTGAGGCTCTATTTGGGGTTCAATTCAGAATCAAGAATCAAACACAATATGTCCAGAATGACCTCCAGTGTCTGGGTTTTCATTAATTAAAGTATTTGAGGATGCTTTCCCCAAAAGCACTGTGAATTTGCAGGCCACTTCTCAACGCTTTTAACTCCCCTGATCCTTAGGTTCATTTGGCATCTAATCCTATATGGAGGGAAGGACTGTCTCAGATATTCATCTGTTGCATTGATTAAGCTAACCACACCTTCTGTATGACCCTGTCTGCCTGTCTAGGGCTCATTGAGAATTCCTTTTAGGACACAGCCTGAGTGACAGGTGATAGAGAAACCAAGTTCATCTATAGGATCTAAGTACAGTGACTCTTATGTATTTTCCTGAATGCTCATTCTGTTCTTGTTGCTGCTGCTGTCAAGTGGCTCCAACTCATAGTGAGCCCATGTACAACAGAATGAAACACTGCTCAATCCTGTGCCAGCCTCACAATACTTGCTATACCTGAGCCCATCATTGCAGCCACTGAATGTTCATTCTGTTTCCCCATAAATCATCAAAATACATAAAACATTCTAACATCTATGCAACTCTATTACATATTCCTGATTCCTTCATGAACCTGGAAAAACACATGCACTCACAAAATGTTTGTCATCCTCAAAACCCAGTTTTGGTTCAGAAATTAAGGCAGTAAACATTCTTTCTCTTAAATAAAACATAGACATTAAGTGTAGAATAGCAAAGATCCTAGAGTAAATACATAGAATGAGATAAGATGTTCTATAACCAATGGATGTCCTCCTTCAGATTATATTGTATATCTTATGGTGGGGGCATGAGTATAGCTATATCGACATGAGGATGACTTTTTCACTTTTAGCACCTTCTGTCTAGCAAACTATTGAGTATAGAGAAGAATAAAATTGCTCTTATTTCATACATGTGACTGTAACATTTTGGGCACAGCTTCCATTGCCTAAGAAAGGAGATAATTAGACAGACATCATCACTGAACTCAGAAGAGGGCGTTGATGCCCATGGATGGAGATGCCAGGGTCTATGGTTACAACTCTGAACTTGGAGACTGAGTGAAACCCAAGCACATCACAACTGCCAAGCAAAGAAAGCATCAAACAATTGATGAAATAAATGCACAGTGACATGCAAGACATTTGCTGTATTGGTTCTTATGGTGCTATGGGATATAGTGATAGAATGTGCAAGTATAGTATATTGCATTTGGTTCCGAGAACAACACTATAGATTAGAAGAGGTGAATTATAAGGCCACAAACTCACATTGACCTTGCCCAAATTATTCCCCTTTGTGGGCCTCCATTTACTCTGCTGTATAAGGAAGCAGAACAGGAAAATGTTAAAGGTTCTTTTCAATTCTAATGTCCTGTGATGTAGATGGTCTCATAGTCTGTCATTCCAACATAGCTATTCCTAGACTATAAAAAGGCCACTTAGTTAAAATTATTTCCTACAACAAAGGTGATATAGGTATATAGGGTATATGTCAAAGGTGAAGACATTTATACATATAAATACATATATTACAAAACAAGAAAGGTAGCTTTATTCTAAACAAAATTTAGAGTATAATATATCAAAACTATATAATCACAGAAGTGAGAATTTGTCACAACACTAGGAAAATCATCAATAATTCTAACAATAAAAAGTTTAAAAAATCATGTTACTGTATTATTAGATATTGACCTGGCATTTGTTAAAATACTTTTTTTTTTTTTTTCAATTAAGACTTTACAAAAGTAATGGAGAATTTTTTCACAGGATAAAGAGGCACATAATTATTGGAGGAGCTCTGGTGGTGCAGTGCCTAAGCCATCTGACTGCTTACCAGAAGGCTGGTGGTTCAAAGCCACCAGCCACTCCTTGGAAGGAAGGTTGGGCAATCTACTCCCATAGTGATAAACTCCAAACCAAACTCACTGCCGTCGAGTCAGATCCGACTCATAGCTACCCCACCTTGGGTTTCCAAGGCAGTACACTATGGAACTAGATTGCCCAGTCTTCCTTCCAGGGAGTGGCTGGTGGGTTTGAACCGCCAGACTTCTGGTTAGCATTCAAATGCCTTAGGCACTACACCACCAGAGTCCCCCATAGTGATACTGCCTCGGAAACTCAAGGAGGGGTCGCTATGAGTCTGATCCGACTCGATGATCTGGCGAACTGCTTCCGTCAAGATTGCAGACAAGAAAATCTTGTAAGGCAAGCTTTACTCTGTCATCTGGAGTCGTTGTAACTTGAAATTGACTCAGTGGCACCCACCACCAACAGCAACATAATTTCAGTGATGCCAACTTTGAGAAATAAAATTTTGAAGGGTAACTCCATTTACACCCCAATTGTTTGGAAGTTTTGCCTTAGCATGAAAATAGACAGTATCTTTGTCTATTTTCTGTTTTCAAGGGGATGTTGTCTATTTTCATGCTAATTCAACAAGGTTAGAAATGCTATCAGTGGTTTTCCACTTCAAAAAAAAAGTTAAATATAAAATCCCACTAAGACATTTTAGAGAATTTGACATTTGGACAGCAAAATTTATTGAGAGAAATAAGGCAAAACTTCCAAACAATCGGGGTGTAAGTGAAATGACCTTCAAAATTTTATTTCTCAAAGTTGGCATCACTGAAATTATGTTGGTGGTGGTGGTGGGTGCCACTGAGTCAATTCCAACTTACAATGACTCCAGGTGACAGAGTATAAAGCTTGGCTTATAAGACTTTCTTGTCTGCAATCTGTACGGAAGCGGACGCCAGGTCTTTCTCCGGCACAGCCGCTGTTGTTGTTATGTGCCCAGGAGTCGGACCCGACACATAGTGGCCCCTCCTTGGGTTTCCAAGGTGTATCACTACAGAAGTAGATTGCTCCATCTTCCTTCCAAGGAGTGGCTGGTGGATTTGAACCGCCAGCCTTCTGGTTAGCAGTCAAATGCCTTAGGCACTATGCTACGAGAGTTCCTTGCATGGCCACTGGGTAGGTTCAAACCAGCAAATTTTTGGTAAGCAGCTGAGAACTTACCCATCGTGTCACCCACCAAAACCAAAACCCATTGCCATCAAGTCAGGTCTAACTCATAGCAGAATGATAAGACAGAGTAAAACTGCCCCATGGAGTTTCCAAAGCTATAAATCTTTATGAAAGCAGACTGCCATATCTTCTCCTGTGGAGTGGCCGAGGATTAGAACAACTGACATTTTGGTTAGCAACTGTGCACTTTAACCACTGTTCCACCAGGGCTCCAATATTTCATCACATTAAAAGCAAGAATTCACTGATGGAGACAAATACATTAGAAATCCAGGAAAAGTTTCAGCCCGTGATGAACAAATGCATGATCAAAAATGATAAAGGAAGGGGGAAGGATTCACTTATCTGGTATATAGATTATCTTTTTGTATCATTATTATATATAAACACTTTTCTCATATAATCATATTTTTATTATAATATCTAATATATATTAATCAAATATATAATCTGGATTAGAGTCTATGTATAAATTCTATGTTTAAGTGGAGAGTTTTTAAAAGAATTGAATGAAATAAAGTATATAGATTTAATATATGTTAAATATGACTTTAAAAGTGATGCTATTCTATTTTAATGTCCATAAAAGACAACATAGCTTCAGAAACACTATGACTGCTGTAATGAAACAGTTTAGTCATTTCAAAGCATTCAACATTACCTACAATTTCTCTAAATTCAATGTTTTTAATAGATTTTGGCTGAGAAAGTTTTTGTAATTAGAATCAGGAGGGTAACACTGTACTATAAAATGAGCATATTGGGTAAATAACACCCAAGGGGGCTTAAATAGCTGTTCTTGTTTCAGAGAGTAGGGTTGAGTGGGAAAGTTATTGCCCTAATAAAATATAATTTGTTTATTCTAGTCAATTATTAGAATCTGTAAGGTAACACTGTACTATAAAATGAGCTTATTGGGTAAAATAACACCCAAGGGCACATAAATGGCAGTTCTTATTTCAGAGAGTAGGATTGAGTGGGAAAGTTATTGCCCTAATAAAATATAATCTGTTTATTCTACTCAGTACTTGTAATGGCATTCAGCTGAACTCAGCATTTTTGACTGGATAGGAAGTAATAGCACACGTATCTTTAGCAGAGAAAAGGAAAAATAGTTTCCCTCACTTTTTATTAATAAAAGAAAAGATGATTGACAATTTTTTCTTCCTTTCCCTTTTCCCACACTGTCGTGATCTGTAGAGACTATTTTTATATTTAAGATGTATTTAAAAACCATAAATAGAAGTTCACTTGACTAAAACATGGAAATAATATGAGTGCTTCCCTTGGGAGATATCTTGCATAAAAATCTTACTATCTATAGGCGCAAACCATAGCACTAATTATTTTAGCCAGAAATTGAGTAAGTTGGAAATATGTCATCAGTGTCAATAAGAAACATTTAATCTCAGTTTAAGTATTAATAATTATTTTTAGTATTACTCAAGTAATAAATATTAATAATTATCCAATTAATAATTAATTAGGTATTACCCTAATTGGAAAAAATATATAGGATCCAAGTAGTCACTGTTAGATGTAGATTTGTTGGCAGCAGCCATGTGGTACCTGACCACAGCGATAAGAAATGCCCTACGACATTGTCTGCCTTTTGCTGAATAAGCCTTTGTTGTTGTTGTTATGTGCCGTCGAGTCGGCCCCGACTAATAGCGACCCCTCCTTGGGTTTCCAAGGCAGTATCACTACAGAAGTAGGATTGCCCAACCTTCCTTC